GTCCCCTTTTGCCTCGAAGCTTTCTAGTCTCTGAAAACACACTATTAGGGATTGGTTAAAATGAAAATTCTCATATAGACCTTGTTTCTCTTGCCACTTGACTGACTGATTAGTTCATTCATTTAGTCATTCATTCATTGATTTGAAAAACTATTAAATGTTAGTGTGTATTATGTCCATGGTTTTAACAAACAAACACACAAAAGTGTCCTAACCCTATCCCATTAAATCTACAATGAAAAACAATTGACAGAAAACTGAAGTAAATTATAGACGGATTGGTGGTAAGTGCTGAGAGAAGCGGAGAGTAGGAAACAAGACCAATTTATCAATGTGGCCAAAGGCAGAATCTTTGAAAAGGTGACTTTAAGCAAGTACTGGAAAGAAGTGAGGGAGCAAGTCAAGAGTGTCCGATGGGAAATGCTTTCTAGCTGAGGGAAGAGGGGACTGATAGCCTAGTGTTAGACACGCAGCAGTATATTCCAGGAGCAAGATGGACGTCATGAAGGTTGGGTTGAGTTAGGAGAAGGAACATCAAGACATAGCACCCCAACTTTTCTGAACCCGGGGTACAAGAAGTAGGCCACCATTGCTAACAAGTAGTTTCCTGCCTCCAGGATCCAGAGCTTGGCTGGAGAAATGTCTTCTTACTGGCAGCTGCTATTGATGTTGTAGGCCTGCTCTTCTACCTCGTCTTCGGCCAAGCAGAGGTCCAGGACTGGGCTAAGGAACAGACCCATCTCTGAGAAGAGTGAGCAATGTGTGAGATCCTGATACTTCCCTTCAAAGACCTGCTTTTGTGCCTACTTGGCTGCTAAAGACATCTAACCAAAAGGGCTTTGTTCCAGGGTCATCTTAGCGATCCTGGCTAGAAGATACTAAAGGCATTCCTCCCCCTCCCCCCACAATTGGAGGTCTCACAAGGGAAAGGAACAGTTGGTTGTTTATAACTGTAACTGTATGCTCCTGGTAGCACAGGTGTGTCCAACTTTCTATGAATCCTCTATACTTTCCCCTGTTATCATGGTAAAAGCATCAGGGGTTAGAAGATAATTTGCAATAAAACTGAAGAGGAAGTCAGAAGTACAGGAGTGATGTGTTGAAACCATGGAAGAGTGGTACCATGAACTCTGTAAGCTTCCAGCAATAGAGACCTGAAAACCCAGACAACAGAACATCTACAGGGGCAGGAGGCCAAAGTGGACAGTGACTCTCATGTTAAGTGAGAGGGTTAAAGAGCCATTGTGAGTCTTGGTGTGTGCAGAGTGTCTAAGAAAATCAAAATAAAGAACAAGGAAGAGTGAATCTATTGTGTAAAAATGAATCAACTTTCTTCAACTAATACAAGACGGGCAGTAGAATTCAACCATTCTAGACAGTTTCTTGTCTGTGGATCTTGGCTTTGGATCAAAACCACTTCCAGAACATAAACACCACTCAGGCACTCTCTGGAGTAAACTCTTCCACAGATACCTTCTTTTTGACTACTCTGACCTGGACCTTTCATTGGGATGTGGATCTGTGCAAATCTCTTATGGAGTAGACACGGGCTTGTGTGACTCTGATCTCCTCATGTACCGCTTTCCAGCATCAGTCTCACAATGACTGCTCCTTGCCTGCTTCTCTGACTCTTGTGGTTTCAGCCACTGTTCAATGGGTCTCATTCAGTGTAAAATGTCTTCTAAAAATGTTGGTAAGACGCATGCTTGCTCCAGCTCATTTCTAATGGTTAGAGAGTGTGTATGGTGATGTGTGGTGTTTCTTTGCACTAAGAATCCACACGGACTACAGAAGAGAACATAAACACTCAAGCACTAAATGAATGTTAATGAATACATTAGTGTGTATGGAGACATGACAGGCCTCACAGTCATGCACAGCTTGAAATAACTCACTACCACAGGGGGATAGATGGCTTTAATGACAGTATCACAAGCGAGTGTGCAGTGACAGCTGCGGACTATGTAAGAAAGAGGGGCACATCTTACTAGAATATGTAAGTGCCGTGCACTTATTTAAGGGTGAGTGGTGGCCACCACCATTACACAGCATCAATTGAGCTGGTGTTTGAAGACCTGATATAGGAGGCTAATGGAATGAATGTTCTAGGAAAGACCCTCGAGGAAGATCCACAGCATTTACAAAGACTTGGTGGCAAGAGAGAAAAGGCAGGTGTGAACAAGAGCAGAATTGACTGGGAAGTGACTGAAGAAGAAAGATCAGGAGTGAATAAGAGAAAACTGGGCGGTGAGGAGGTTATAGAAGTATTGAAGTCAAGAACATCCAGGGCATAGTGGACCTAGTGAAGAGTATTGGTCTGTATATTAAAATCAGTGATCATATTTTAATGGAATGGGACACAATCATGGTTCTGATTTTTAGTGGTCACACTGCATAAAAGAATTGGTTAGGGGCTGGAGAGATGGCTCAGTGGTTAAGAGCGTTGCCTGCTCTTCCAAAGGTTCTGAGTTCAATTCCCAGCAACCACATGGTGGCTCACAGCCATCTGTAATGAGGTCTGGTGCCCTCGTCTGGCCTTCAGGCATACACGCAGAAAGAATATTGTATACATAATAAATAAATAAATAAATAAATTGGTTAGGAAGTCCCCTGCAGTTCAGGATAGTGGTGGTCCATAGTATAGATGGATGGGGTAGGGAAAAATAAGCCAAGTGGATAGCCTGGCCCCATTATAATACCCCAGGAGAGAGTGAATGACGTCCACAGCAACAGTTGCATTTTGTTTTGTTGGTAGGTCAATGGGGATGCTTCTCCCAACAACAACTCACACAATGAAGACCACAAACAGAAATATGGGCACAAAGGTCTGGGTGGCACATGTGACATTTGGGGTCCAGTTATGAATTTGGTAACAATTTAAACAAAAGTCATGATGAAAATTTTCAATGTGGATGAGATTGCCTGGGTAGACAGTATGACATAAAAGAGAAAGTCTATAACTAATCTTTCATGGTCAGCTAAAGGATAGAGAGAGAGAAGAGGAAGGTGGGGGAAAGGACAGAGGGAGGAATGGAGGAAGAAAGGAAGAAAAGTAGAGACGGCAAACCAAGAGAATAGTATTAAGATGGAGAAATGGAAAAAAATGAATTACAAAAAGGAGCGGTCGGTCAGTGTGGCATCAATCTGCAGGGATCTGGCTGATGGGGAGGAAGCAGAGTGAGAAGAAAGGGGTCCAATCCTGAGACTTCGGAGGCAAAAGAGAAGGAGGAAGAAAGGTGAGAGGTTCAAAGAAAGCCTGTAGCAAGCTATGAATACCCCAGAGACAGAGCTAGCTGAGAAATCAAAGTGGCGTAAAGAAAAGCTTCAAGCGTGAATGGAAAGATCCTGGGAGGGGGATGAGGAAGGACTGCTGTGGCCTAAAGACCAGCTAGGAAGATAACAGGAGTGGGATGTAGGTGGTCTCGCCTTTTCACTGTGGGTCCAAGGTCATGTCCGTATTAGCTAGTGAGAAATCCAAGGAGGGTTTCGTTCTTGGAATCTTTCTCTCTATTTGAAAGTGCAGAGGGTGCATGAGGGGCTTGTTGGTAAGACAGAGGCTACAGTGCTCTTATTAGACAGAAGAGCACCATAGCAGAGATGCCCTGCTGGTGGCCGGGCAAGGTCTTTGCCTTCCATACAACCCTGGAATACCTACACATGCTTCTTCTTCTAGCCCATTCATGACAGTTTCCAACCCCAGAGAATTCAAGAACCAGGACATGCATTGTTTGACACATCTTCAACAAAGTGTGGGATTCGATATACAGTAAGTACCAATAAATGTTTAAGTCATGTATTGGAGCAGCTCTGGGGTGGTATAGAAGACCAGTTAGGGGACAAAAGGAATGGGAAAATGTCCTCGTTTCTGCCCTGTTGCTGTGACAAATACCATGACCAAAGCAACTTACAGGAGGAAAGGATTTATTTGACTTACACACACATCTAGGTCACAGTCCGTCACTGACAGGAGACAGGGCAGGAACTGAAGCAGGGATTTGAAGCAGAAGCCATGGAGGAATGGCACTTGCCAGCTCACCCACAAGTCATATTCTTCTCTCTTTCTTATACAACCCAGGACTGTGTGCTTCAGGGTGGTGCTGCCCACCACAGGCTGGACTCCCTTGCACCAGCTAACCATCAGTCAGTCCCCCACAGACAAGCCCATAGGCCAGTCTGATTGGACCAATACTTTGGCTGAGACTCCCTTCTCAGGTGACTCTAGGCTATGTTGAGTTGATGGGTAAAGCTAATGGGGAAAGGAGAAAAGGAACCAATTTCACCCCAAGTTTATATGCCTTTGCTTTTAGAACCCATGGGTTCTTTTTCTTGTAGTTATGTTAATAGAAACCTGGGTGTGACACCGTCATTCTCTTTGGCAATCCTGGACCTGACACAGGTCTCATTAGAGCACATAGTCAGCTTTCCAAGGTCTTCATTAATCCATTTCTTTTCCCTCCCATGCCACTTGTATTTTTTGATATTTATTCACTTTTATTTTACTCCTACAAGAGTTCTGCCTGCACTATAAGTGTGCAGTGCCTATGGAGGCCAGAAAAGGGTACCGGATCCCTTGAAACTGGAGCTACTGATGGTTGCTAGCTGCCATGTGGGCGCTGGGAATCGAACCCGGGTTCTCTGGGAGAGCAGTCTTCTTAACTGCTGAGCCATCTTGCCAGTCCCTATTTTTTATTTGTTTGTTTGTTAATCAATCATCTTCAGCTGCTGCCTATAACACGTCTGACTTCTCTGGGACCATCAAAAAGGAAACTGATTTTTTAAAATATTTTCTTTCAGATTGGGCTATCCTAAAAGAATATAAATAATTTAAGTTGTTTTTTTTTCAAATGGCTCACATATTTACAACAAAGAGGAATGAATGTTGAAAATTGAAAACAAAATGAACAAAAACAAACCCAAACCAAGAGGCTGTAGAGTAAAATTTCATCTTATGTTTGTTTATTGAATCACAGAGGAGGACAGATAAATAAATCCACCTTTAAACTCAGACACGTAACTTGTCGCATACAATACGCAGTGCAGAAGAAGTACACAGACTAAAGCGGGTGAGACTGGCCTCCCAGGATCCTCACGCCACCCCCTCCTGGGGTTGGTGGCTCCCTGGGGATGGGAGTCTCACACAGTTCCTCTTCTTTTAATAGGGACTCTGACCTCGTGCTTCGTAAGCACTCAGTTTTCTATTAACTTTTGTAGAAACAGGAAAACAAAACACACAGAGATGTCACTGGAGTGTTGTCACGCAGAGAGTGAGCCAGCACCTCAAAGAAATTAGTGTAGACTAGGAGGCTTTTCTCAAGTCGTCTTTCTTGTCCAGTGACAGGTTATCCATGCCATTTTTGCATGTCTCCCCTATGGACATAAAAATAAATAAATCTATCTGCCAGGTGCCACCTTGCCTCCTTCCTCTGCCCTATCCTGGGAGATCTATGTGAAAATATTGGAGTAGCTGCTGCATTTTGCTAGGCCCAGTCTCGGTGCTCGAAGATACTCATTGCTGTGTGTTGAGGCTGCATCCTGAAAACAAAACAAGCAAATCAAAAGCCACTGTGCCATAGAGCTGGCACTCCTGTAGGTATATTAATGCCCTCAAGACAGCACATTACAAGTGTAGTAATAATAGGTACATTCTCTGTGTCCCCACATTTCATCTTTTAATACACTGATTTGTTATTAAGACAATGAAAATTGGGGACCCTGCACCAAGCACACACTCCAGCTTCTGGGTCCCTGCACTCACGCACCATCTGCCTTTTCTAAGAACCATTCCTGACACCCATAGAGGCTGCTGTCTGACAGTCTAGGGTGTTCTCACTGTTAACAGGCATCCGGACCAACTCCTCTGTACTCATACATCCTATCTAGAACCTGGAAAAAAATCACAGCCAAGATGCTTACCCAGAGGGTCCAGCCAGGATCCTAACTGGAGCAACAATGAAGAAGGCACACATTATTCTGCTTTGTTTTGTTTTTGTGAATGGATTTTTCCTGTTTGATTGGCTTGATTTTGTAGACAGGGTTTCACTGTATAACCCTAGCTGGCCCAGAACTCATTATATAGACAGTCTGGCCTCAAACTCACAGAGATCTGCCTGTCTTCGTCTTGTGAATGTTAGGATTAAAGGTGTGTGTCACCATGTCTAACCCTGTTCTAGTCTTCTTTAAATGGATTTTACTTATTTTTTAACTTAAAATTTTCAGTGTGTGTATTCGATGTATATGGTAAATAAGAACAGCTGCAAATAGCTGGATAATGTGAATTGAGTATGTTCCTGCCATGCCCATGCCTGATGCCTGCCTTCGCTTTGCTTCTTCCTCCTCTCATCCCCAGTTTGTCCCCATTGTTTCCCTAGACGGTTTTGCTTTGATTTCCATGTCCTATATGTGATATTACCTTTCTGCATGCTTTTTTATGCCTCTCTCTCTCTCTCTCTGTGTGTGTGTGTGTGTGTGTGTCTGTGTGTGTGTGTGTCTGTGTGTGTGTGTGTATTTGGAGCTTTGCATGTCAATTATGCATTGCCTTATACCTGGCTATCAGCGCCTAGTCAGCTGGACAGAACATTCATTTGCTGCAGGTGTCCCCATGTATTCTGTTCAGAGAGGGGACCCGCTGCAGGTATTTGAAACCTCTCAATGGCATTGTCACTGCCTTGAGTTCACGGATTCATCTACGAAGTTCACTTCTGTCCTCGTAATGCGAGGTGGCCTATCTGGGGCAGTATGGCTCTCAGAAATTCCAGGAGAGTCCTTATATAATATAGCAAGTTGTGATGTTACAATGGTGTCTTCAGGGTAGTGGTGGAACACATAGCAGATCTATAATCCCAAAGTGAAGCCCTGGGAGAGTTGAGGTGGAGAAAGGCTTTGCAACAATTTAAAAATGCCTGTTTTTACCTGAGGGTCAGAACAATGTAAATATGCCTATTCTTAATTTTGATCATGGTGGCACATGCATGTAACTCAATCACTCAGAAATGGAGGTGGAAAAATCATGAGTCTCAGGCCAGCTTAGGCTGTATAGAAAGTCCAAGGCTAGTCTAAGGTATATTTATTGAGGTTTTGAATTAATGTACACACACACCACACACTTCACAGAAAACAAAAACACTCCTTAAGCTACACAGAAAACAAAAACACTCCTTAAGCTAAACCAAACCAAAAAAAAAAAAAGCACTAAATAAGAGATGTTATCTCTTGAACCTTGCCTTCAATTTTATACTAAGGGTTCTAAGCAAAGCAATTAGAGAAAAAAATGAAGATTATTCAGATAGGAAACAGAAGTGAAATTACCTACATTTCTAGATAACAAAATTATTTATATAGAAATCAGACAGTATCCACTAAAAACTAGTAAGATATGCTTAATGAAACTGTAGGGCATTACAAAAGTTAATTGCATTCCTATTATATTTAACACAAAAATTAAACTGAGAAGACAATTTCATTTAAAATAGAATTTAAGAACCAAGCACACTGATATACATTTGTAACGTATATAACTTCCTGAGAGTGGAAGTTATAAGTTCTGGGCTAGTCTGTTTGGGCTCCACAGTGAGTTCCAAGCCCATCTAACATCACCACACGCTGGTTCTAGGTCTTACCCAAGAGTTCTTGGGTAACACACTCAGATACTATGAAAGTGCACTAACATCAACAGCAGCAAGGACCAATGAGCAGTGGCTCATACATAACATCAGCTTACAGGCAACTGCATCCCCCTCCAAAACAAACAGCCAGGAGCAACAATGAAACCCTCTTTGATGCCTTGTTTCTCTCTACTCCTTTTCGGGAGGAATATCTGTCTATTCTGACTGCTTCTATTTCCTCACATCATATTTTCTCTCTCTTTTCTTTTCCACAGATAAAATAGACAACAGAAAATTGCAGAAAGCAAATAGTTGGCTTAGTGGTTTGCAAGCACAAGGGCCTGAGTTTGAACCCCTGAATCCATGTAAAAATTTATAGCGTAGGGGCACATACTTGTAACTTGAGCACTGGGGAAGCAGAAACAGGAAGGTTGCTGGGCCTTATTGGCCAGCCAGGAGACTCAATTGTCTGCCCGACAATAAGAGACTGTCTCAAAAGAGCTGAACCCTAAGAAAAACATACATAGATCCACCTGGAAAGGGGAATAGACAGGATCGCCTGACACGATTGGGAGCATGGGGGTAGGGAGAGTAGGAAAAGGGAAAGGCAAGGGGAGAAGGGGAGAGGGGAGGAGAACTTGAGGGAACAGTATAGTAGGGATGGAGGAAGGACAGAGATGAGAGCAAGGAAAGAGATGTTTTGATTGAGGGAGCCATTATGGGGCTAGCAAGAAACCTGGCACTAGAGACATTTCCCAGAATCCGTAAGCATGACCCCAGCTAAGACCCTAAGCAATAAAGGACAGGGTGCCCAAACTGGCCTTGCCCTGTAGTCAGACTGATTTATATCTTATACATCACCTTAGAACCTTCATCCAGCAACTGATGGAAACAGAGGCAGAGACCTGAATCAGAGCACTGGACTGAGCTCCTAAAGTCTAGTAGAAGACTGGGAGGAGTGGGAATATGAGCAAAGAGGTCAAGACCATAATGGGGACATCCACTATAACAGCTTACCTGAGCTAATGGGAGCTCACCAACTCCAGCCAGACAGGGAAGGAAACAGCATAGGCACAAACTAGGCCCTCTGAATGTGCGTGGCACCAGGATTTATCTCTACTGCTTGTACTGGCTTTTTTGGAACCTATTCTCTAGATGGATGCCTGGCTCAGCCTAGATATAGTAGGAAGGGCCTTGAACCTTCGTCAAAGCAAGGTGCCTTAACCTCTCTGAGGAGTGGATGGGAGGTGGAGTGGGGGGAAAGATGGAGGGAATGGCAGTAGGGAAGGGAGTGGAAACTGAGATTGATATGTAAAATAAAAAAAAGATAGTTTGATTTCTTTTAAAATAAAATAAAGTGGAAAGGAAGAGAAAGAAAGAAAGAAAGAAAGAAAGAGAAAGAAAGAGAGAGAGAGAGGAAGGAAGGAAGGAAGGAAGGAAGAAAGAAAGAAAGAAAGAAAGAAAGGTGGGCAGCGGCAGCATGACGATAGCATTGAAGCTGTCTTTGGCTGACACACACACACACACACACACACACACCACCACACCACAACCCCCCCCCCCATGCACATTAGCCCAGTAACATGTGCACTCTTCCCCCATGCCTAAAAAGAGGGGCTCACAGTCTTCTTTTGTCTCTCCTAACAGCTGTTGGCATTTATCACAACAGGGTGTCTTGATTCAATGGGGCTTGAAAATAGGGCTGTTTCACAACTGCCAATTCTAATCCAGGTTTATCCACTACCCACAGTTTAGATGAAACTTTCACAAACTACCAGATTCTCTTTGAGCACACCTTAACTGGCCTCCTGTCTCCATCATTATTTGAAAGTTGTTTCTGCCAGGATCATCCCTATGACAGCTGTGCCTAACCCAGCGGTAAGTTTTAGAGCCTATCTAAAGATGTTAAGTCCTGGACGGCGCGTTCCAGAGATATCAGTTCCTTCGCCTCAACACTCCATGTTTTCTAACCATTATTCTACTTTCCTGAGGGCAGGTCCTCATCTCTTTCGCGTTTCTCTTAACTGTTCATTTCTGAGAAACTCAATTTCCCAGATTTACCATAGCAACTCTGATATCTCCCCAGAACAGTGTAGTGCTGGGTGGGGCGGTTATCAGTGATAATGTTTCAGATTTAGCATGCTTCCCCTCCCCCAGCCCACTCAGCTCTCCATCTCGGCGACTCAGCAGCAGCAGCTCTCTTGCCTGCATCTTCAGTTTCAGAATTTAATCTGATAATGTCTCACCTTCACAGTCGTGTGTTTTTTGTTTCTTTAGCCCAGTCCTGAATTTCTCCTTTAGCAAACACATTGTAGAAAGTTAGGCACGTCACATTAATGCCTGACATCAAGAAGAAGATTTTATGCCATGCGTTTTCTGGATCCTGAGGGATTGAAATACAAATAAGTGTGAGTGGCCGAGCTTGATTTTGTATCCGACAACATTTAGAATACAGCATTAAAATAGTATGTAGAGGCAACACAGGTCACTTAAGCATTCAAAACACTCATAAATGACAGTGAAAGGCCTCATTTCACTCTACACCAGTAAATACTTTTAATTACATATATATATATATATATGAATTTCTGTTTTCACCAGCTATTAATACAACATTAATATGACAGTTTCTTTTTTTAATGGGGGGGTATTTATTTATTTATTTCGTTTTTTTGAGACAAGCTTTCTCTGTGTAGCCCTGACTGACCTGGATCTCACTCTGTTGACCAGACTGGTCTCAGACTCAGAGATCCACCTGCCTCTACCTTCTGAGTAGTGGGAGCAAAGGGATGCTCCACCACCGCCAGGCAACATACCAGTTTCTTGTAAATAATGCATCTTTTTGGCATGATTTATTATTTTGAAACTTCCTGTCTCTTTCGAGACACCTTATGCAGACAACGGTGTGTTGTATCAGATAGTCACGTATGGATAGGCATGTAGGGAAAGTGTGTTTTCAAATGAAGCTGGCCGATTTAACCATTTCTATGCACTACCGCTATTATTTGTAGCCATTCTATGTACAGTAATTATTATTTTGCTATGATCATATGATTTCACGTTTCCCATGGCAGGGCTCTGACACAATTAAGAGAAATGGACATATATTAGTTGAATAAAAACATTATCATTTCCCACAAAAACAGTTTAAACTTTTATTTGGGATTGTATTTAACCAACAGATCTTATAATAGAACTCAAAATCATTTTATAGCTTTTCATGTAAGGGCTGGATGGCAAAACTCTCAAAAAGAAAATAAAAATCTTTTACCAATGCATGAGATGAGAGCTAATCAAGTCTTTTAATACAAGAAATAGTGTATCTTGCCATTTATGAGAATTTTTTAATTCTGTAAAAACTATCACCTGATTTCTCCACAGAAATGTAAATTATTTATTAAATATATTCTTAGATATTTTATTTTAGGGCTATAAATTATATATACTAAAATTATCTCTGTGCTATTTATTCAGATATTTAGAAAATACTTCATATGGACATTGGTTTATATAATTTATATATTTGTACTCTATCAGCAACCACGCCAAACTGTTAATTGTCATACTTTAGCTGTAGCCTTCTGGTTATCTTTGAATGTCACCTACTTAACTCTTCCTCTTTTCCTGTTCATTTTCCATATTTTCGCAAGAATACAGCACAAAGCTAATAAGATCATTGCATCCTTTCCGTGCTCACAGTGTCAAAGGCAAACCATTCCACAGTGCACCAAGATGCTGTTTCCTGTGGGGTTTAAGTCAGTGTTTCTCTTCCCTCACACCGAGGAGAAGGCAGACAAGATTCCTTCCTGGGTAGAGACAGCATTGCAAAGTTCTAAAACCACATTTCCTCGTGCCTTCCGAAAGTTAGTAGAGAAGTTTGTTCAGCTGACAATAATTGGAAATCAGTTCATGGTATTCAAGAGACGCAGCGGAAAAGCAGGGTGTGGCTGGCTCTTAAGGCTCAGAAAGAGAACTAATCCTAGTTGCCTTGAGTTTCCCCTCTTTAGTGAGGCCAGCGTTCCTCCCAGGGAGTTTCTGTGGTGCTGTCTGTGGCTTCTGCCTTTATGACACCATAAGCATGCACAGCAGGATTTTGGGAAGCTCTTTGATGGGAAATGTGGCCACAATATATGCTGACCACCTCACCCTGCCCCTTGCTGTGTGGCGGGTGGGAGAAATTTCCAACACAACTAATCCACCTAGGAGCTTGCCCTCCAAACGAACCAGTTGAGGAGCTAATGAAATTGACAGGGGGTGGGTTTAGACCCTTTTGTATTCTATACTGGAGAAGGTGCTTTAGTCCTCCTGTAGGTAGTCAGGCATCCGCACATGCTTGTTATCAATAGCTTAGACCACACACAGTACTAGCAGCTGGCTTTTCTGGGTTAATGTTCCAGCCTGGGTGGAGGAACAAGGGTTGATATAGTCAGACACTAGTTGGACTCAGCATTTCAGGAAGGAACTGGTCTCAGGCTCCTGGAGAACGAGGGGAAAGTGCAATGCACAATACACAGCCATCATAAGTCTCCAAAATGTCCTGATCATCTGACCAGCAGGGCAAGACAGACCTCTAGAATGATTAACGGCTTCCCTTTAAGCCAGCTAGCTACAGCTTTTCCTATGATATTAACCCACCACCTTCTCAACTCACTGAATCAAACATTCCGGATAGTACTACGAAGAGATGCAATTCCTGCCTCTGCTCACAGCTTTTGCGGTGGCAGGGAGCGTGACCTTGAGTAGTGCGCATGCAGATGAGGATGCAGCCCTTTCTTGCTACACAAGCCCATCCAGGCTTTGCTTTTTTGGGTAAATGTGTGCCCGTTGATCCATAGCAGCCAGTGGCCCTGTGGTCATTTGCCTCCTTGAACTCAAATTTTCTGAATCTCTAAAATGTTCTTTTATTTGCTTTTATCAAGAGGAAGCATGGATTTTCACACTGGTGTTATCTCTGTGTGTCACAGGCTGTGTGCGCGAGAGAACATGCATGTGCTCCGGCATGGAAGTGGAGGTCAGAGGACATGTTCGTGAGTTGCTTCTCTCTTCCCACCTTTATGTGGATTCCGGGTTTTGAAGGTTGTTAGGCTTTTACAGTAAGTGCTGTACCCCTAAGCCATCTCACCAGCCTGAACACGTATTTTTTTTTTTTTAAGTAGCTTTAAATTGACGGAGTCTTTCAACTATGTCCACCAAGAGGATTTTAAGGAATTCTGGGACAACTGCAGATGCAGTGCCTCAGTAGAAGCTACAGCGTCCTCCAACCTTCAGCCCCGTGTCTTCCTGTCTTTAACTTCCTTCCTGACAAAGCTCTTTTTGGTGCTTCCACCAACCTCGCTCAGCCAAATCCTTTTTCAACAGCTACCATTCTCTGTTAAAACCAGAGACCCATTTCCTTTCAAACAGCTGAAGAGGTCTTAGTATGGCCAGCTGACACACAGTGAGAAAGAATATATTGTCTGCAGGAGTATAGACTCAGAAGATCACCTGCTGTTGTGGTCTTCTCCAAGGTGTGTGTGTGTGTGTGTGTGTGTGAGAGAGAGAGAGAGAGAGAGAGAGAGAGAGAGAGAGAGAGAGAGAGACTTTCTTTATATAATTAATAGCAAAACCAAAACCAAAAAATATAACTAAGCTTATCTGCATACTACTTACCTGATTAAGGATCAGCCCAGCTACAGCTGAAGAAATTAGGCCTCCAATCATTCCAATTAGAGCTGAAACAGCTTTAATAAATCCATAATAGCTGTACAAAAAGGAAAGAGAACAAGGGTGAAAAATGGTACAAATGCTTCAGTCAAAGCCACCCCAATCCAGTGAGGCTCGGAGGGGGAACTGCTGATGCTATGAACACCCATTCCAACTGCTTACATTCAAACGGCGGAAAGCAGGCACGCATGATAGCAAGGTCTCACTGTTCTAGACTGTCAGAAAGGGTTACCTTTAGCAGTAAGGAATCTATGATATTATGAAAATGATCAGTGTTTAGAGTGCAACTCAGCAGTGTTTGAGACTTCCAAGTACAGCAAGGACATTCAGAAGGTGATGGGGTGGCCCATAGGAACTGGACTGGGGCTGATGGGGTGGCCCATAGGAACTGGACTGGGGCTAATGACTGAAGGACTGTTTACTCGGTCTAATCGCACAGACCCAGAGCCCCTAACCCCTGCCAGTCCTCTGATGAGGAAGTGAAAAGGCTGTTTACAGGCAGCCATGATTGACCAGTCCTGGAGGTTCATATCAGCCTTAGCAGAAAAGAAGCAAGAAAAACAAGGCAGCCACAGAAAGTCATAGATCCAAGAAAGGCCAAGACTATCAGTCCCACAGAGTGAGGCAGTGCTTAGTCAAGAGCAATTTGGTTCAGGCCTGGGAGCCTTGGCCCTTCAGCCAAAACTAGAGGATCTGTATTAGAAGGTCTCTCAGCTTATGAGTAGCAAAGTCTTCAGAATCTTTTGTTTATTTCCTTCGGTCTACACTGTTTCACTTTGCCTTCACAGGTTATGGTAACACACAACTTTAATCCTAGTGGTGCACAGCTTTAATCCCAGCCCTAGAGAGGAATATAAAATGGGGACAGCTCTCAGACACAGTCTCATTCTGAGATTCCAGGAGGCAGGATCATCATTTCAGACTGAGGTCGAGGTAAGAGCCAGGGGTTGACTGTTTTGCTTTTCAGAACTTCAGGTTGAACCCCAAATTCTGACCCTGAGATTTTATTAATTGTGCATCATTTGGACCCAGCATTGTTAGGGGCTTGGCTGCTATGGGCTTGGTTGCTAGATTGGTACTACAGGAGGTGATAGAAAGGTGGAACATCTTGGAAGGCCCTGAGGTTATTGGGAGGATATGCTCTCAAAGGAGATGTAGCCATTCTGTTCCTGACCCCCTTTTCATGTCCCGGATGGGAAGAAGTTTTGGTTTACATGCACTCCTGACCCAAAGCAATGGAGCTACCCCATGAAGGACTAACGTCTCCTGAACTGTGACTCCAAATCAACCCTTTCTCACTATAGATAGGTTTACTTCAAGTATTTTTTTATAGTAACAGAAAACTGACTAACACAAATTCCAAACCAGTGCTCATAATTTAAAAATCAAATATTTGAAAACAAATCTCAGTGGCAGTAAAATAAGTCTAAGCTGTCATGAATTAACATCTGAACTTGCACCTAATAGCAAGAATGAAGTAGACAATCCAGATGGCATTCGCTGTGTGCCAAAGCACTACTGTGCACATTTTACCTATACTAAATTATTCCGGACTCTTTTACTTTATTATTTCGTTTTCTCTGTGTGTGGGTCAGAGACTGTCTCTCTCTTTAGCCAGGTGGCCTCAGTCTGGTCCTTCTCCTTCTTCTGCCTCTTGACTGCTGGGTTATAAAAATGTATATAGAGAGTACTATGAACATACCAAAAAGAATGGTGTTTTAAAATCATTACTTAATAACAAATTAAGAAAAAATACAATAATCCCTTTTAAAAGAACTAGACAAAATGTAATTAAGAATAAATTTAACCAAGGAGTGGACTGACCTGCACTCTAAATCGATAGGACATTGATGAACTGAAGGCATGCCATGTTTATGGATCAGAAGAATGAAAATTAGCAAAATGTCTGTTTCTTAAAGTGATCTAAACACTCTATTCGTGCCTTGTGAAAATCCAAATGATGCTTTTCACAGAAATAGAAAAGAAATGGTTAAAATATCCATGGCTTCACGAAGGTGGACAAAGGTGTTCCAAGGACAAAGAACAAAGGTCTCACACCACCTGTCCTCAAAATGGACCTCAAAGGTATGGCAGCCAACAGGAAAGGAAAAAGGACAATAAATAATATTGGAACCAATTATATCTACTTACAGAAGAGAACAGAATTGTGCCTTTCTTTCGGACAATATATAGTATATTGACTCAAAAGGAACTGAAGACTTGGAACTATAAATCCATGAGAAAGACACACTGTGGGAACCTCCAGGACTTCAGTTTGGACAGCATTTTTTTTATATGGCCAAAAAAAAAAAAAAAATCTCAAGCAACAAAAGCAAAAGGAGAAGAATGGAATGACTTCAAACTACAAACTTTCTGCAGTCAGGGAAACAGTCAGTGGGGTGAAGAAACAACCTATGCCATGGGGAAATGTAAAGCACACATTTGCTAGGGGTTGGTGTCAGAAATACATCAGAAGTGCAGCTCACCATCCACCTAGAGAAACATGACTAAAGAACCCAGATAGAAACTTTTCACAAAAGGCCTAAATGGTCAACAAATACATACGGAAAATTTTCAACATCACCAATCATCAGAGAAATGCAGATTCAGAACATAGTGAGATGTTGCCTTCCACATTAGGACGGCTGTGATGAAAAGGATAAGAGAGGGGTTGGCCAGAGGCAGAAACCTGAGCTAGTGCAGCAGCCACTGTAGGAAACAGAATGAAGGCGCCTCACCATATGTCCCAGCGCTCCGGCTGCTGGACACGTATTAGACAGACACGGAGTCAGTGCTTCAGACATCTGCAATGACTTGTTTATGGCCACATCATCCACTCAGGTAAGACACAAAAATTACCAGAGTCCACCAGCACTAAATGGATAAAGACTGTATGGTCTGCACAACAGATGTTATTGCCTTTAGAAGAAGGAAAGCCTGTCTTTGTTTAACAATGTGCATGAACTTGGAGGATATAATGCTGAGTGAAATAAGCAGGTCACAGACAGGTCACATGCATGATATCATGTACATGTAGAATATAAAAAGTTGAATTCGTTGACGCAGAGGACAGAAAGGGTGTTATCAGAGTCTAGGGGTAAAGCGAGACATTTAGGAAGACACTGGCTGAAAGATGCGAAATTTCAATGAGAATGAATAAGTTCAAGAGACCCATCAAACAGCACAGTGCCTGCTATTAACATTGAACCATTAACATTGAAAACAGCTACTATGAGAGATTTTAAGTACTTTCATTACAAAAATAAGAAACATATATATGTTACTTCATTTAATCATCCGACAATGCGTCCATTTCAAAACATTGTCCTGTACATAAGAAATGCATGTCATTTTATTTATTAATGCAAAAGTAAGTAAATTTTAAGAGAGCCCCACCTGGGAGCAATATCCAAGGCATTGATGTGCTGTCCACAGAAGGAAAAGCTGAGTGTCGAGTTGGCGAGTGTCAGGAAGATGATGGTGCTGTAGAAGCTGGAGCTCAAATAGAGCAGGCACATGATGAAGATCACAGGAGAGAGAATCCCTGCAGAACGATCCAAACCGTACAGTTAGGTGCTTCTGAACACAGGGCTGAAGGATTCCCCATGTGCTCGTCTGTCCTGGCTCTTCCTTACCTAGCGTAGAGAAGAGTTTCCGCACGTTAGCTACGCTGAAAATCTTCCGGGACAGGAGGAAGTCTGCCAGCTGACCTGCTACGATGCCACAGATGTAAGCAAGCAGATAGGAGAGACTGGACAGCAGCCCGTTCTGAGGAGGAAACATGAATCCTGAGTGCACACGGTGGAGACGCAGTGCCCTGCAGCCAGTGTGTTCACCGGATTTCAGTAACTAATGTGTACGTTAGACTTGGAGATGTGACTTGGTGGTTGAGTTCTTGTCTGCCATACCAAAGGTGCTGGGTTCAATCCCCAGTCCCATCTAATTAATGCATGAATTAAATGTGTGCTTTGATCCAGGAAACTATCCAGTACCAGAACTGTGTCTGGGAACACAAGGTCCAAGGAAAGCGAAACATAGTTTTGAGATTAGTAAGAATTGTCACCATCCTTTATAGATTTTTGTTTTTAGTATCATGGGACCTGGAAAACTGCAAGAGAAGACTACTGAGAACAGGAAGTGTCAGCCCTGAGGGAAATAATAGGGGATAGAGATGATAATTGATGACAGACAATTGCATGTTTGCTCTAACTGGCCAGGGTTAACTCTAGGAATGACTCCATGGTTTCTTTAAGTTGAATCGGTGAGAGCTTATAGGACCATAGCACTATGTTGGCCACTACCCAGAGGCAATAAGTACATTACACAACGTTCCAAAGTTGGGAGCCCAGACTCCATTTCTAAGGGAGTCTTTCTGGGTTACCTTGATATCAAATGATAGGAAGTTCCATTAGCATCCAATGTCAGATAAGCAATTGGGAATCCTTTAAGAGTAACACCTAAAGCCCAGGAATTGTAGTTCTATCCCAAGACAATGGGTTAACAAGAGCTGGACACAGAGGCAGAGTAATATTTACATTAGGACTCCATTTCCTGAAGAAAATGGCACTGTCAAGCTTTTTCATTTTTTTGAGATTAAAAACAAGTCTCACACTGTGGCTCAGGTTAGGCTCAAAGTTAGAGCAATCTTCCTGCTTCAGGTCCGTAAGCACTTAAATGATAGGCAGGCATTCACCACAATACTAGCTTGTAACAAGTCTCAAGTAACAGGCTAAGACATATATTGGGGACCCTGGGGGTCTGTGTGGAAAAGTGGCTGCACGTGTGTTGATGGAAGAATTTCAGACACTGTGTTTATACCAACACCCTTTGTCTGGACAGAGTTCACATGTAGGAAACCATGCATCTCTAGGTAAAGTCCACTAGCTAGTGTAGGAGGCAGGCAAAGACTGAGTCTATGGTCATAAGACACAGAGAGATAAGTGGGGAGGAGTCCCTTATGAGTTAAAGATGAGAACAGGTGGTACACTTACCTCTCTAATGTTAACATGAAGCACAGTGTTGATAAATGTTGGAGTGTACGTAACCAGGAGGCTGTTGGACCATATGAAAGCAAAGGTATTGATGATAATAGCCCAGAGCGGAAGAGACCTAAGCATAGCTTTGATTGGCAGAGATTGTCTGCGCGAGCTGACCTGGGAAAGAAATCAAGAATAATTCAAAATGAGGATCATCTGGAATGTGTTTTGTTTGGAGCAGAATGTAGAAGCTGCCCCAAAGGAGCTCAGTGTTCTACCTGCTGGGGAAGAGAGGATGTGATGTAGGCCTTCTCCCTGCTGCTCATATACGGGTGGTCCTTGGGGTCATCATAGAACAGAAGGAACCAGCAAAGACTCAGGATACAGCCAAAAATACCTATCAGAGAATCACATGTTACAAGGACGTTCTAGCTGCAGTTTTGGATCAAGCACATTTCAGAGCATCAGCCTGAGAATCTAGGTGGACTCTTTCTCTGAAACCCTGGGAGGCTCAGACTTTGATGGTCTTTGTAACCACAGCTGGCCCTTGCTGTGGTGTGCATGTTACTGCTATGCTCCTGTCGGTTGGTGAACCCTTTGTTTGTTGGCCTGATCTAATGAGTCTGTCTACCCCCTTAGGGTTCCCTAATGTTGGGCCTTTATATTTTCAGGTTGGTAATGGCTCCCTACCTCAAGAGGGAGCCATTCTGAGCTTGCACAGAGCTAGACAGTCACACACTCACTGCTGCAAGGGTAGATGTGTTTCCCTATTCTGACTCAGCCTTTGGCACACTATGGGAATTAGGCACTTTCTGTAACCTTCTGACACCGACTTAGCCATAGATGGCTTGAGTAAATATCAACAGGCCTTCTGCCCCTGTACTTTCCTTTAGAATTTGGCGAATAGAAAGCCTGGGAAGGTGTCTTCTTCTTCTGGAAATACCAAATGGTGGATGATGCCAGTGCAGTGGGAGGGCCCAGAGGACCTGGGGGCCCAGTATTAGGGGCCAGGCAATGGTCTTAGGGGCTGCGGGGCTCATGGAGGTAAAGCTGAAGACAAGGAGTGGATCCCTGTCACCAAGAGGGACCGCCTGGTTAAGGAGATGAAAATCAGATCCCTAGAGGAGATCTACCTGTTCTCCCTGCCCATTAAATTGTTAAGTTATAATAGATGTAGATTTTTATGTTTATTCTTAAACTTTGATGCCTTACTGAGATTTTATAAAAAGAAACTCACCGAAAATGTAGAAAACCATGGGCCAACCCAGAAGATCACAGATGAATCCACTCACAAGAAGGACAATAAATGGTCCCATTACAAATCCTAACCAAAGGGTACAGAAGACATCCCTGTTAACTTAACAAAGGCACCTGAAAATCCAGCCAATAAACCTCTATGTTATAATGAACAATCTTCATGGAAGAAGCTTGTTTCCAGTGCTCAGGAGGAACTGAGACCGTCTTTTCTCTTCTCTCTTTTTCTGTTGTTTGAGGTAAGGACACTGCTTTTTCATTCTGAAACAGTGTGTGTGTGTGTGTGTGTGTGTGTGTGTGTTCATGTACATTCATTTGGATGCCAGAGGTTGAAGTCCAGGGTTTTCTTCTCCTACTCTCTGTATTGAAACAAGTTCTTTCAAGGTCTTTCAATGAACTTAGAACTCACTGTTTCAGCAGGGCTGGCTGGCCAGTGAGCTTTTGGCCTACATCTGTCTCTGCGCCAACTGTGCTGGGGTGATAAATGCGTGATCCCATGTCTGCTACTTTACATGGGTGCCAGGGTCCTCATACTCGTGTGGGAAGCATTTTATCCACTGAGGCATCTTCTCTCTCCTAATCAAAGCAAGAATATTGCAGGGATGTTTCTAAAGCCCCTAGCAACTCAAAGCACAAGTTTTTAAATGGCTCTCGGAAAGACCATGACCCAAGGAGATGAAATGGGACTTAACCATGCTCGGCTTAAGTACTTACCTGATAAAGTCATGGAGGTAAGCCGGCCTCGTTCCAAGGGAGGTGCCCATTTGACCCATATTTCATGTTGGCCTGTTGACACTATTCCCTGAAATGAAAAGATGAGGGTTTTGAACTCTAATACTCCAAATCCGAGCTCTATGTCTGTTTGAATCATGTCTTAATACCTGGGCTACTCCCTGGAGTACTCGACACACAATGACCAAAGCTGCTCCAGCTTGGGCTGCTGGTGGGATAAGCATGGAGAGCACAGAGCTGAGGAGCATTGAAAACCCAAGTATTCTCTTCATTGGATATAGTCCAGATAGGTACCCAACAGGAATCTGAACCACGACCATACCAAAGAAGACAGAACTGAGGATAAGCCCTTGAATATCAAGACTCCAGGAATACACGGGGTTCTAAAAGGAAAAAAAAAATAAAGAGGAAACATGTCTGAGGACTCTGCATTGGAGATAAAATCTGGTGTTTATGGGTTTCAGGAATGTGGTCATCCTGGTCAGTCTGTTTAAAGTAGTCCTTCCTCTTCCTAAAGTTTACTTTTATCTCAAAACAACTTTGTTATCTTAGCATGTTATTTTGCATATGCATTTATATTTTATCATTGATATTTTCAAATATAGATTAAGTGTCTCTTATCTGAAATGCTAGGACCAGAAAGATTTCAAATTCTTTTGGATACTGGAGATGCTGGCAGAAGCCGCGAAACAACCGATTACATTGCACCCGCAGTTAGGAAGAGAAAGATGAATGCTGAAGCCCAGCCTGCTTCTCTTTTTATCCATACCAAAAGGCCAGTCCACTGAATGCTGTCATCTACACTTAGTGTGAGTTTCCCCACCTCAGTTAACACAATCTAGAAACCCCCTCACAGATGTGAGGTGTGTCTCCTAGTTGACTCTCGATCCCTGCCAAGTTCCAGTTAGAGTTAACCATATCTTTCATTTCCCTTGGTAAGGTACATTTTGTTTTTTGCCCCCGTTTCTTTCCCAAAGTTCTTCCTCTAAAGAAGTTCTAACTCTTGGATTTTGTTACCCCTTAACCTGAAATCATACAACAAACCCTTCCAAAATGTTGAATTATTCTTTTTACTTATTAAAAGGTTTGTTTATGTATTTAGGTGTTTTATCTGCATGTATGTCTGCACACCAGAGGAGGGCATCAGATCCCATAGGATTACAGTTATAGACTGCCATGAGCTGTTAAGTTTGTGTTGGGAATTGAACACAGGACCCCTGGAACAACAGTCAGTGCTCTTAACAGCTGAACCATCTCTCCAGCCTTTGAGCTATTCTTTAATCACAGACTATGCCTATTCTTACTCATAGTTAAAACTTGAGCTTTATTTTATGATTATTTTTATCATTATCTTGTCAATAATATACGTCCTCTGTAGAAACTAGCTACCAAGATAAAGTTTTAAACTTATACTTCATACTTCCAATATACCTTTCCATCATCCATTCTCTCCACTGCAGATCCATTGGGTAAATTGGGTGGCTCTGTTCTGTTCACCATGGCTACCATGGTGAGGTTCAGGCACACTCTCTGAGCCATGATGACAATGTTACAGAAGTGCAAAACAACAGCCAATCCATAGCGAAAGGAGCAGAACCCTGGAACTGGGAAGTAGAAAAGAACATCTCAATTGGTAACACAGTTTAAGAAAAAAATGCAGGCATTTGGAACTTTGATATCCTAGAGAGTAAGTTAAAATTTTACTGTACAAACATCCTTCTAGAAATTGCCATATAAAAGAAAGATGTGGGACTTATATAATAATCCCTATTACCTTAAGACATCATTCCAGTTAGAATGTCCCAGAATGGTAATCCAGTTTGCAAATGCTTTGGTGAGTGTCTATTTTAAAGAAACCATGGACAAATACCTTGGGTTTTCTTTGGAGGTAGGACCCCTTAATATTATCAGTCGTATTTTATCTCAAAGAAACTGATTTGATCCTCAAATTGATATGACTACTCTGGTTGAGAAACTCACATTTTTACATTGTGAATTTTTTTTCTGAAGAGAATAAATTTACTGAGAAAGTATCAAGCTATAGTAAAGAATGTAGTATTGGTATAAAACCAAGCACGCTCATCAGTGGAGGAAATCAGGAATTACAGAAATACATGTGCACCTAGGACTAAGTGATGCGTGTGTGTGTGTGTGTGTGTGTGCGTGTGTGTGTGCGCGCGCGCACATGCGTGCTGCATGTCGGTATACATGCTCATATTGGGGAAAGTGGTTGCACATTTATGGAGTCCAGAAGTCAATGCTGCGTGTCTTCCTCTATTGTTTTCTACCTTATCTACCTTAGTTTTTGAGGAAGCATCTCTTATGAAACTCTGGATCACTCTGGTTAGGCTAGACTGTCTGGCTATCAAACCACAGGACTCCTCCTGTATCTGTCTCCCTCCTACCAGGATGACAGACACATATCACCACACCTAGCTTTTTATATGGGTGCTGGGGATCTGAAGTCAGGTCACTGTACTAGTGTTGCAAATGCTTTCTTGGGTGATCCATCGCCCCAGTCTAAAGAACTAGTCACCAAAGCTGTCTACCATAGGAATCTATTGTTATGGATTTCCCTAAGAGTCAAAAATAATCAGCATGACCTCTCCTATATCCAAAACCAGCAGTAAGAAGCCCCACCATGCTGAATCCATCTTACATCTGTCTGACTGCTCCATCTGTGTCCTCTAAACATAGATTTAAAGGCTTGTGTGATTCAATCACTTTCCCTTGATAATTTCCCTGATTAACTGGGAATTTGCATGTATCAGGGTTAGGATGTCCTACGGGTGATCTTAGAATTCTGCCTACTGTGGCCCACCATCTGACTTCTAAACATTTATGTTCATCACACATGCAAAACATAGCCAACCATCTTCAGCATCCCCAACTCCCATTTTATTGTTATGTTGTTACCTTGAAACTCATCAAAAAGTCATGACTTCAAATTGCAAAATCTCACCATCTAAATCAGTCCCTGATGATCCTTATAGAAGCAATGCAACTAAGGTACAAAATTTAACTGTGGACTTGCTGAAGAGGCAAATATAAATTCTTACTACTCTCAACATACAGTAATGGGATGGGCATGTGCAAAACTACAAACATTAAAATTCTAAAAGAGAAAAAAGTCAAACCCACAATGGGTTTGAAATCCATCTGAACAAACACTGTGTTTTAAAAGATGAATTTTTATCCTAGTTATAAAATAAAGTGGTATAGAGTATGATAATCCGATATATGTATTGTGATTGTCAATTTCACCATATTGAGAAACTACTAGAAAAGTGGTAACATACTTCTGGGTTTGTTGTGAGAATGTATCCAGAAAGGGTTGGAATCTGGGTGTCTAGTCAGATGAGTATTTTTTTTTCCAGTAAGTCCATAGTGAATGCTACCTCTCATGCAGGCCAATCAACATAATGTCATAATGTCATGTTGATTAATGTTAAATCGACCCCTGCGATACCTTGCAAAAGAGAAAAATTATCAAGATCCCTGCGAACTAATTTATAACACCGGGTTAGAAGATTGACAGTTATGCATGGGCACAGCATTCACCAAACCCCACATATCTATGGCGGTTGCTCAATGCTCAATCTGCCAGCAACAGAGACCAACATTGAACCCACCATAAGGCAGTTCCTGTGGGTGACCATTTGTTAAGCTGATAGCAGATAGATTATATTAGATAATTTCCTGCATGGATAGGTCAGTGTTTTATATTTACTAGGGAGACAGTTATTCTGGATATGAATTTATCCTTCCTCTATGCAATGTTTTTCTAGAAATAACTTCATCTGAATTTGAAAAATGTCCTATTCCCCGTCATGGTGTTCTATACAACAGGAGCTCACTTCACATCCAGAGATGTGCAGCAGAGGGCTTGTGTTCATAGATTTATTGGTCTTACCTCGCTTGTGGTTGAATGGCCTTTATGAGGGCACAGTTACAGCATTAACTTGGTGGCAGTACTCTGCCGGACTGGAACAATATTCTGCTGGAGGCTGTGTATGCTTGAATCAGCATCCAACACATGGCGCAGTTTTCCCATAGTTAAAGTTTATGAATCCAGGAACCACAGGGGAGAGATAGAAACCATCACCCCTAGGGATGTGGCAGCAAATGTTTCACTTCCTATTTTCAGGAGCTACTGCTCTGCTGGCCTCTACCTATTGCTTCCAGGGGGAGAAATTCAGACACTGGTGGACTAGGACTCCAAGGACTCCATTGAACTAGAAGACAGAGCTTCTCCCCCGGGGGACTTTGGGGTCCTCAGCCTCTGAGGTGATGAGCTATGAATGGAGTTAAAGCGTTCATGGGTGATAAATCTGATCTTCCAATAGGGAAATATGGTTTCTATTCTGTAACTTGACAAGGAAGAGTATGGCAAACAGGCACGGTCTTCTAGAGTCTCTCCTAGTGTTTCCCAGACTAGGGTTTAAGGTCAGTGAGACTCATCCACAACCCTGTGCAAGCAGAACTACAAATGGCCCAGGCCTTCGGGACTCAAGCTGCAGATGCTACATTAGGTAAAGAACCACAGTCCATTGAGGTGCTTTATGAAGGCAAAGGCTGTAGGGAATGGTAGTTATCAACATCAGCCATGACATCTGCCATATATATATAAATACTAACTATGGCATGTGATGAGTCCCAAGAAAAACAATGGCGATTATCATGATATTATTATTCCCTATTTTGTTAAGTATATATTTGTGTCTATACATGCATGCATCAATCAAATTTATTTTCTTTCTCTTACTTTATTTTTACCCTTTAATATAGGACTTGTGGATGATATACAAATATTTAAGCACTGTTAGTTGCATCATAGTTATGGGATGTCAGAAGAGCATTAAGAATCATATGAAAACTTTGTTGCCTTTTCTGAATATTTCCGAATTAATGCTTCCATATACCAGGTCTCTCACTCGCCATCAGTAATGCTGTGTTTAAGAAGGTGGACCCTGTACCACAGGACAACACTACCTTTTTTGGCAAGACACTGGTTCTCCATTTGATGCTTATCTTCTTGTTCGTGGGTTTGGTCTCCATGCACTGTGGATTCAAACACACTGGTTAGGATATGAAAGGAAGCAACCGACCAAGCCCTCGGGAATCCTGTCTGACTGAAAGCCAGGGTCAAAGGATGACTAACCCCGTCACACCAGTGCCCTTTCACCCCCACGGAAGAGCTTAGTTAATATTCCACTTTCATGTTTTTTTTTCTGCTCACTTAAAATTTATTGAAAATCTGTTAACTAGCAACCCTGTCAATTTAGTTTTTCTTAATTCAATGAAAAATAAAAACTTTATTATAGAAACAAAAACTGAGGACATTTGCTGCCAGTAGGCTTGCCCTGCAAGGCAGACTGTCAGAAGGTCAGCGGGCAGGAAAAGACCACAGTGCAATTAAAGCTGAATTTAGAGAGGGACTAAATACAAACATAACTCATTTTCTGCTGTTTTTTTGGTTTTGCTTCATTTTTTGTTTTTTTTTTTGTTGTTGTTGTTGTTTGGAAACAGGGTTTCTCTATGTAACAGCCCTGACTGTCCTGGAACTTGTTTTGTAAAGTAGGCTAGCCTCAAACACACAGAGATCCACCCACAGCTGCTTCCCAAGTGGTGGAATTAAAGATGTGCCCAGCTTATTTTGTGTATGTTAAGAGAGGTGACACATGACTGTTTTCTTAGTAATGCTACACTCTCTGGAGATAGAATGCTCTCCATAGCCCCATGTAAACCTGTCTGTACCCGCAGTTTCTCTAGAAACAGAGCTACCGCAGCCAAGCTTCTGCCAGGCAGAAGCGGGTGGGAGGGTGATAAGTTAGGATTCAATTCTCACATATGCTGTGAGCTTAGATTTTGAGATCTGACTTCATCAGTGCACATGACTCACACATGTCCCCAGGACACCTAGGATTTGTGTATTTGGAGCATTTTAGAATGCGTAGAACGTCAACCACAAGTATCACACATTGGATTCTCTTTTGAACTGCTCAATGCAACAAATGCCTAACACAGTACAGAGATACTACACATATTCACACACACGTAGAGGAACACTACATGCTTACTATTCATAGAACACAGTACACAATACAACACACATACCACACAAACCTAAACGGAGAGATACACCGCACAATACTATGCATACGACCCAGTGCACAAATGCCTTATACACTCATACTACACACAGAGAAAAACACTACACACATAAACAATACACATATGCTACACATTTATGCAAACTCTATACACATACTATATATACAACATAGTACGCAAATATTACACACAGAAACACTATGCAAACATAAGTAATATACACATACTACACATAGAAAGAACTACTACACAAACACTACACACATAGAAATGTGACACACATAAGATACATACAGCATAATACATGGATACTATTACATACTCACAGAAGCACTAAATACATACCACACACAGACATATTGCACTGCGATACAATACACAGATATAATAGACAAACAATTATACTCCATATACCACATATGTGATATGTTACATACATATCACATTAACACTATACATAAACCCAGTACACACATACTGTATACGAAAAAACATTACACACTACTATTCATACACAAACCACATGTAAATGCACACCTCACACACATATACATACAACACACATGAATAGTACAAACCTTCCTCACACATAGTACAAACACCACCACCCACAAACCAAACCTATACCTCTCTAGCCTGTAATGATAAGTGTGCACAATTTGCACACACCACCTACCGGACACACTTGCAGTCCAGCGTACCACACTTACCCTTCCCTCCACCACTGCCATGCTACAACAATCACGGACAGCTCGCCCCACAGTCCACACCTTCTCTTTCCCCGTGTCTCTGTGAGTAATGCCCACTGCACACTCTTTCCTAAAAATATGTTCTTTTTCTCCCTTGTAAAAAGCCTCTAAAGACAAGCAAATTCTTCTAACAAATTTCTCACATTGGGAAATTCTCTGCCAGGGAAGGACCGCTAAAGCCTTCTGGAGAATTAAAAGTTCGTTTCACTTGGCACATAATAAAAATCGCACTGACCTGATTAAGACAGAACAGCCCTTCCTCCTCCCTGGAAGACTTTCCACTCAACTTTAGAGGTGAATTTTTCTACCTGCTGGTAAATCCTATATCGAATTCTTGACCTCATCATGTTAAGAGTAATGTTTAATTTTTAACTTTTCTTTTACCCTAACCTTGCATCTTCTAAGGAGAAACATGAGTCTTGAGATCATCCACTGGACTAGAACTTTCTGGGAATTAATCAGCAATTTCAGGATTTAATAAACAGATCCCATAGTCTCCAAAATACCCAGAAGGGAGCATGCCTTCCAAAAGTGTTCACAAGATGTCTCAATTGAGGAGGACTTTGGAATTCCATGGATTGTCCCAGAAGAGCTGTGGCTTCACGGATGTTTTATTAACTTTATTATCCTCCCCCCCCCCCGCCTTCTTACTTCCCTCCTTTTCCTGCTCTTTCCTTCTCTTCCCTTTCTACCGCTACTCACATTCTCCCCCTTCCCCTCCCCTCCCTCCCTCTCACTCTCCTTCTCTTTCCTTTCCCCCTTCTCAGCACCTTATCTCTTTTCCCTCCTCTCCCCCTCCTTCCTTCTTCCACACTCCTCAGAGGTCATACCTGTCTGACATTTGACATGCTCAGAAAGCTGTGCATTTTCTTATGTCCTGCCTCTCAAAGCTGTGACTTGTTTTCTGGCTTCTCCTGGTGTTCAGCTCCTGGCTCTTCTGAAACATTTGGGCTGAAACTCTTTGAACATAATATGCTGATCAGTTAGGGACATCTAAGCCCTGATTCAGAAATTTTTCACTGTTGATAATTTGTTAACATACTTAAACATTTAAATTTTTATTATACTCTTTTCAATGTCCATCAATACTTTTCATGTATCAGCTGCTCCATGACTTAAACCCAATTCCTACCCCCCCCCCCCAAATAACTCTGAAGCCAAATGTGGTGCAAGTCTGTGAACTCTGTACTTGAGGCAGAGGCAAGAGGATCATGAGTTCGAAGCCAGTCTGGGCTACCTAACAAGTGACAGACAAGCCCTACATGCACAATGAGACCCTCTATATCAGAAAGGGGAAGAGAAGGGAGAGAAGGAAGGGAAGGGAAGGGAGGGGAAAGTCAAATGTAGAAAACGCTTTGCCCTGGAGCCTTGTCTTGTTACTCAGTTGGGGTTATGATTCTAGGAGGTATTGATGCTCCGTGTGACACAGCAAATCTGTCCTCTCTGCTTGATACTACATCTTGCAATTTCTGGTACCTTCCAGAAAAAGGGACTTTTTAATGATTGAAAGCTCCAAGTTAGCAGTTGTTCAATGTCCACATTTTGAATAAACAGCACTCCCACATGGCGTCAATCCCCACGTTCTAGGTACAGATTACATAAGAAGAAGCTGGTTTTCTGTTTGCTGCTTCCACTTTCTATTGCATCGCGAGGCTCTGACGCCACTGAGCTCCATGTTTAGCTTATTAATCTTTTACTTTCCCAGTTTATCATGGAAAGTTTCAAACCCAGAAAAGAAATAGAACAGTCCGATGTAACCATGGACATATTAACTAGCTTCTAGCATTTGAATTTCTCTGTCCAATAGTTGTTTCTGTAGTATTCTAAAGCAACAATCAGATATCATGCAATTTCTTCTACAAAAACAAAATGAAACAAAAAAAAACAAATAAAAAGAAAGAAACCTCAGCAAAGAAACTTAACTCATCAGAAAAATCTACAACATAGATAACAAGCCACCAGCACTAGTAAATAAACAAAATCCTTTAAATGTCCTCATTTACTTCAGAACTATCCCCTTTATATTTGATTGATTTTTGTTTGATTTGGGGTCTCATGAAGTCCAGACTGGCTTGGAAGTCATGCTGTAGTCAAGGGTGGACTGGAATTCCTCCTGCCTCTATTGACCAACTGCAGGGATTTCAGACATGTGCCCCTGTCAGCTTAGCTGGGCTCTGTGAATGGTGGCCAAGTACTCTACAGCCCCAGTCAAAAGGTCATTTTTTTTTTAATTTAAATTGTGTGTTTGTGTGTGTGTGTGTGTGTGTGTGTGTGTGTGTGTGTGCGCGCGCACGCGCGCACCAGTGTATATGAGTAAGGGTACTCTCAGAATCCAGAGAAGGTATAAAATCCCTTGGAGCTAGAGTTACTGGTAATTGTCAGCTTCTTGACATTGGTACTGGAAACTGAACCTGAGTTCTCTAGAAGAGCAGAAAGCATTCTTGATCCCCAAACCATCTTTCCAGCTCTTGGATGGCATTATTTCTTGACCATCACCTGAGAACTTGCTACCTTAATGAGATAGCTCATTAGTTTAAACAATTCCCTCCCAGTACCACATGCATCCCGATGGTAAGAAGTTCATGTTAAATCTGGAAATTTTGGTGCATGCTTATAAATCCTGGCACTTGAGAGGTTAGGACAGGGGATCATGAATTTGAGGACAACTTGGGCTACATGTGGAGTTTTAGGCTAACTTGTTTTACATATTGAGATCTTATCTAAATAAATATATAAATGAATCATGTAAAAACGGGCTATATATAACCAGGAGTGGAGTTACATGTTTATGATCCTAACACTCAGGAGACTGAGGCAGGGAAGATCATGAACTTGAGCTGAGCTAGGACTACATAGAAAGTTCAAAGGTCCAGAGGCCAGTCTGTGATACACATCAAGATCCAGTATTTCAAAAAATCATTCTGTAAAAGCCGATGACATACTTGGTAATGAAACCACTATTGGCACACCTAGTCAACGGAAGAAGTCCACAGTCTTTACAGACGAGGGGTATCCCGCTCGTTGACTTTCCTAGGCTATATAGGATGAAGAATTTCCTTGGGCCACACATTAAATACAAGCTCACTCACAAAAACTCATAAACAATAAAAATGCCTGTTTATATCTGCCACTATAGAAAGGCAAAATCCTTACACAG